TAATAGCTTATCCAACAATATTGGAAAACAACTATTACAGCAATGAACATGCCAACAATTAAGAGTCTCCTTAGAAGTTCTTCACAAAATAACTCTTCTCTTTTAAAATATTATTTTTATAAATTAAATTTTAACATTTTAAATAAATTATTAATTAACTTAATATATTTATTCATCTTATATCTAAGATATAAAATTCAAAAAATGTATTTATCCTTGTTTTATTTTCTAATTAACAACCATTAATAAAATACTAATTTAAAATCTTATCTAGTTATATCATAATATTTTCATATCAAGTTTAAAATCAGATATTAGTTATACAAAAATATTAAAATTATATAGTAAATTATTGATAAGATTCTAGTTAAATAATTTAAAATAATCAATTTTATAACACAACAATAAAGAAATACTAATAGTTAAGAAAATACATTTGTACTCTTCCTATTAGAAAAAAGAGAGGATGTTATAATTCTTTTTTCCCTTAAGATATCACATCTCTTCTATCAATAAAATTTAAATATAAAAATTTATTTAAAAATAAAGTTATCATAAGTTAGAAATATATATTATAAATATGGATCAAAGTAAATAAGAAATTTTAAAAAATTCATATACTCTAATTAAAAAACTGCCTAAAAATCCAATCGTAAAAAAAATACCTCTAAATATTTTTTCACATAAATAACTATTGATATTAATTATGTAGGAGTGCATATAAATATTTTTTTATTATAAATTAATGTCTTGCTCTTACAAAAAGAAAAAATGAGATTGATACTCAACAACAATATTATCATCACTTTTAAGCAATTTATAATTTTTTTAAGTTTTATTTAGTGACCCAATAGAATTTTGTCGTTAATTTTAACTAATATTTAGTAACCAAATAGAATTTCGTTGTTAATTTTAACTAATATTTAGCGACCGAATAGAATTACATCGCTAATTATAACTAATATTTAGTAACCGAATTTAATTCCGTCGCTAAAAAAATCAAAATTTCTTATTTAGCGACGGAATTTAATGTGGTCGCTAAATATTAGTTAAATTTAGCGACTGAATTCAATTTCATCGCTAAATTTAACTAATATTTAGTGACCGAATTCAATTCCGTCGCTAATTTTAACTAATATTTAGCAATCGAATTATATTTTGTTGCTAAATTTAACTAATATTTAGTGACTGAATTAAATTTCGTTGCTAAAAAAATCAAAATTTCTTATTTAACAACCGAAATAGCGACCGATTTTTTAGCGACGACTTATTTTAGTCGCTATTTTGATTATTCATAATCGGTTACTAAATAACAACTGATAAATTTTAGTCGCTAATTTCGGTCGCTATTTTACAATTTTCTAGTAGTTTCCATCAAGTTTTGCACTTCTTCCTGAAAACAACCCTAAAGATAGTTTTCACAAATATTTTAAGAAACATGAATACCAAACTTCATGAAACATGTTACGTATGTTTAAGCATGATGAGATTGTTTTTTTGATCAGCAAATAAAGAGATATATTATATAGGTACAAGGTACCAAAACCCGTATACAAGGATATCATATTCGTACATTATAGAAAAGCTCTTTTACTGTACATAGCCTACCACTCCCAAGTAAAGAACATAAGCTAATTCTTACTGCAAAATGATAGTGGGAGCTAGAATCCCACAATGATCCGATAGATAAAGCATGATGAGATTGTGATGCCTTGTACTTCTTCAACCATAACATTCCCTTTCAGTAAATTACTTCTGTTAGGATTTGATTCCCAATAATACGCCAAGAGAAAGCTAAGACTCTAGAAGGGGACAATTATGTATGAAAAGCTATTTCGCAATCACGTGTGCATATTTAGATGAAAAATTAACACAGCTTTCCAAAGACCACTCCACATGCCATACAGTTATCTCTAGCTAGGACCACTTACCTCAAAATATCAAACAATTCAGGCGTCAAGATTTCCTCCTAAATTAATCAAAAGAATAGGTTAGAGCCCTCATCCAACTAAACCAAACCCAATATTCAACAAACCACCTCCCAATATCTTACATTACCCTGCATCTAAAATAAAAAATATGATACAATTTATGGAAGCTAGCATTTCCCAATCAACCACTCCCGGTCCTTTTCAAACAAGAGGAAAACCAACCAAAAGAAATTTCATAACTGTTAAACTTGCATACATGCATCCTCACCACCAAAAGGAGGAATATTCACAATTTAGAACTTTTGACGAACTTAGGCAAACTCGCATTAAAATGACCTTACCTAGAACAAAGAGTATTTATCCACCAACCATCTTATTCAGACAGCAACCACCACCTCCATTAATTTTGCTAAATTAAACCATTTCTTGGACTTACAAATCACCTTCTAACTAACACAAGCAATCTTCCTTTCTATCTTGGCCACCACCGGCCTCTTGGCCAAAAGAAGTCTCTTTTTGAAATATTTAATACTAACCTTCCTTAACAATTTAGAAAAGGACAAATAATGGAAAAGGCTAGCTACAGGCCACTCAACAAAACATTTATATAAAACCTAATCTACCACCAAATAAGAGATGTTTACTTTTCCAAAACCCCAACTTCTACCTCATAGCATGGCTACCAAGTTGTTAAGCTCCTAGAATTAGCACCAATCGGAAGGCCTAGATACTTGAAAGGAATACTACCTAACTCGTGATTTAGAAAAGACAAGGCAGAATATCCAAGATACCATCATCCACATTTATACCAATGAAACCACTTTTATATAAAAGTTAAAGTTGAGATCTGAAACTGGCTCAAAGCACCTTAAAATAGATATCAAAACCCTTAAATTAGACCAGCTTGGTTCACCTATCGTATCAGTAGAGCATCGTCAGCAAACTGCAAATGAGAAACTTTTGGACCATATTCACTCCCGAGATTGGGACCTTGAACCTTCCTATTTCCCCTAAAGAAAAGTCAATATAGTTTAACTAATGTTTTTAAAATTGGACGGACGATTCGATATAGAACGATTTTTTAGACTAATCAAATTGATTTTGAACCAATTTTTATTAAATTGATTCCATCAGTTAGTTCAATCTAATTATTAAAACGTTTTAAACCACTTAACCCTCAGCAAAAATAAATGAGAAGGAAGTCAAAGCATCTCCTTGTTTGATACCGATAGGATGTGCTCTAGGCCAAAATAAGAGCATGTTTGCTTTTGCATGATGTTCAAACTTAAAGTTATGAATACTTACTTCTCCTTTATTTTAG